GGAAAGAGGAGGGCTTGGAATAAAAGATCTGGAGCAGCAGGAAAAGCTGTTCTTCTTCCTGGAGGGCAGAGCCAGAAGAGAGGCTGCTGCAGGGGAGAGACCCTCATCCTGAGGGAAGGGTGAGTAGTCCATTTGATTTCTTTTCTTTTCACCCACTTACTGTTATTCTGCACCTTGCTGTTTGACCTCCTATAAAGTAAACCTTTTCCTTGTTGTACTCTGCCTGGTCCTCACGCCTGTTATTCGGCCACAAGGGAGGTCGAAATGTTTTGGGTGTGTGTGTGTGCGCTCTGGGCCTTCTCAAAGGAGCCTGGAACCAGAGTGGTGGCAGCGTCAGGTGACACCCCACCTGAGCCGTGACAGGGAGGCTAGGCCGAGGAGTAGTCACAGGGCCCAGCGGATCAGGGCTACCACCATAGGTTGTCAGTTGTTATTAATAGCGGCAACAATAGTTGTGACGGTAGTGGTGGCGGCGGCGGCTCCAAAGCGCTGGCGGAAGAGCTCCGTTTTGCAGTCCCTGCAGAACCGGCAAGACTTGCAATAACAGTGTTCCGCTGTTGTTATTGCCTGTCAGATGGCTGGATTTCGATCTCTTCAAGACCTTTGAGTCAGAGGGAGAGGAATTTCAAAGAGGCCAAAGCCTGGGTCCCCCTGACTCACCCCACTCCTTCTTGCTTGAGCGGCATCCTAGCCCCGTGGGATGAGCTTTCGTGAGTCACTGCTCATTTCTTCGGGCATCCAAAGAAGTGAGCAGTGAATCACGAAAGCTCATCCCCTGCCTCAAATTTTGTTGTGCTCCCTCTAAGCTGCGGAGTCCCGTGAGCCAAAATTCTCCTTTGTGAGCTCCCGGCATTCCAGTTGCGAGCGAGCGATTTGGCGACGGCATGAATTAGTTTGCTCCGGAGCCGTCCTTCCGGAGCCGAGACAAAAATGTGTGAGCCGGGGGGCTAACAAAACTATGAGCTGGCTCACAACAACTCAGCTTAGAGGGAACACTGGTCCTCAAGGTGCTGCTGCTCTCTCCTGCTACTACAGATAGATTGATGCGGCTCTCCGTCTTGATCTGGTTACCTTACGCCCCCAACCCCATCCTCCGCTCTCCGTAATCTGTAACCTCCTTCACACGTAGCTACTTCTTTTCCTGTGTTAGCTCGGGATTTGCCCACCTAAATTAGCAGTGCGCCCCTGTCATGACCAGTAGGTAAGCCTCTTGGAGGGTATCAGCCAAAGGTTTCCCCTGTATTTAGTGGGACTTCTGAGGACAAGTCCGTGAACTGTAGTAAACCAAGGCCCTTTGCCTCCCTGATCAGAATCGATGGCCAGCCTCTCTTGGATATTTTGCTTTGGGTTAGGACCAATGCTCCCTCTAAGTCGTGGAGTCTTGTGAGCAAAAATCCTACTTGGTGAGCTCCTGGCATTAAAGTTGTGAGCGAGCGATGTGGCTGCTGCATCAGTCAGTTTGCACTGGAGCCATTCTTCCTGAGCAAAGACAAAAATGTGTGAGCCGGAGGCTAACACTAAGCTCAAACTAACTCAGCTTAGAGGGAACACTGGTTAGAACCAATGCTCCCTCTAAGCTGTGGAGTCTTCTGAGCAAAAATTCTACTTTGTGAGCCACTCACATTAAAGTTGTGAACGAGCGATTTGGCTACTGCAGAAATCAGTTTGCTCCAGAGCTATCCTTCTTGAGTGAAGACAAAAATGTGTGAGCCGGAGGCTAAAAGACGTTGAGCTAGCTCACACTAACTCAGCTTAGAGTGAACACTGGTTAGGAATGCTGCTTGCGATCACTCAGTTCCACTGGTGGTTAACCAACGTCTCCAGGGTTTGCGATATGTTATTTTTGGGTGCTGAAACACAATCCCTCATACATGGGCAGGTTCAGGCCCCCCCCCCCCTTTTTAAAAAAAGAGATGTCGGAACTCTCAGGAGGGAAATGAAGTTTTCAATCTGTATACTTGGAACACTCATGAACTTTTAAACATCTTTAAAAGAATTTTGTCGGAAGAGATTCCGGAACTCCGTTCCAGCCCATCCCCCTCCCCAAAAGCCCCAGGCAGCTTCTATATTAAAGTTAAGGAGGAACTTTCCAATCAAAGGCTGTTTGCGCTCCGATACAGCAAGGGGGTCATTTGCCGATGGGAAGGGGAAGCTGTGATTCCTGACCACAATATAATCTGGTTGGATAACTGGAGCAGATAAGGAGCGAGATTCGAGTCCAGTAGCATAGAATCATAGAATGTTATAGTTGTAAGGGACCCTGCAGGTTATCTAGTCCAACCCCCTGCACTCTGCCGGAGCATAGCCGAAAGAGACCAAGATTTTTGGGGTGTAAGCTTTTGGGAATCAAATCTCTCTTCGTCAGATACAAGCAGGAATTGGGATCCCCATGCAGCACTCTGGTGTAGCGGTTAGGAGCACGGACTCTAATCTGGGGGAACCGGGTTTGATTCCCCACCTCCTCCATATGCAGCTGCTGGTGTGACCTTGGGTCAGTTACAAGTTCTCTTGGGAGTAGTTCTCGAGAGAGCTCTCTCAGCCCGGCCTCCCTCACAGGGTGTCTGTTGTGTGGAGGGGAAGGGAAAGGAGATTGTAAGCTGCCCTGAGACTCCAAGTGAAGGGTGGGGTATAAATCCAATCTTCTTCTTCTTCTTCTTCTTCTTCTTCTTCTTCTTCTTCTTCTTCTTCTTCTTCTTCTTCTTCTTCTTCTTCTTCTTCTTCTCCTCCTCCTCCTCCTCCTCCTTCTCAATGTCTCTTGATTTGAACACCCATTGGGGCCACCATAGCTGAGCTACGACTCGATGGCACTTTCCCACCACCATCGTGCCATACAGGTGTGACGGCTCCTCTTTCTGCTCTTCCCCGATTTGTTTTCATCCCGGCAAAGAGAAAATGTACACGGGCGGCTGCGCTGAAACATGGCTGTTGTTTTAAATTTGCAGAAAACGCGGAAGTGAAATTCAAGGACTTCCTCTTGGCCATGAAGAACATGATCTTCACCGAAGAGGAGGCCTTGAGCGTGGTGGAGCTGCTGAAGGAGAAATCGAACGTGATCCAGGACGTGCTCCAGAAGGTGAGTGCTGCCGCGGGACGGAACCGAGAGAGAAGGGGAGGCAGAACTAGCCGAGCCCTCTGAGTCAGAACGGCTAAGCTAGGTTGGCCCTGCTCAGTACTCGGGTGGGAGGCCACCAAGAAAGTTCAGGGTTTTGACGCAGAGGCAGGCGATGGCCAACCACCTCCAAACATCTCTTGCCTTGAAAACCCCCCCATGGGGTCGCCGTAAGTTGACGGAGACTTGACATGACTTCTCTCCAACTTTGTCCCAATCTGCCTGGCCCAGGATAGTCCGATCTCGTCAGATCTGGGGAGCTAAGCAGGGTCAGCCCTGGTTAGGACTCGGGTGGGAAACCCATGAGGAAGTCCAGGGTTGCTACGCAGAGGCAGGAAGTGGCAAGACACCTCTGAACATCTCTTGCCTTGAAAGCCCTACGGCAGGGGGTGGCCAAACTGTGGCTCGGGAGCCGTGTGCAGCTCTTTCGCACATATTGTGCAGCTCCCAGAAGAGCGGCGGGGGGGAAGCAAAGGGGAGGCATGTTTTTTCTCCCTCCCTCCCTCCCTCCCGTCTATTTGCTTTCTCTGTTTCTTTCTCTCTCTCTTTCTTTCCACCTCTTTCATTCTTTCTTTCCACCTCTCTCTTTCTCTCTCAGACAAATAAATATCATTCGCAAACAAATAAATATCACTGGACAGATAAATTATCATTATCAGTATCTGTTTTTGACCCCTTTTTTATTTTTGACAGTCTCATTGAATGTTCATAATTAAAAGCAAACCTGTGTGTTTTAAAAAATAAAAAAACATGTGTGTGATATCTGTTCCTGTCTCGCGGCTCTCAAACATCTGGCGTTTATTCCATGCGGCTCTTAACGTCGAGCGAGTTTGGCCTCCCCTATGGGGGGTCACCCTAAGTCGGCTGCAACTTGACGCCCCCCCCCCCACTTTGTGTCTCTTTATGGCCCTTGGTGTCTTCCAGAAAACAAGCAAAGAACTGTGATAAATTAATGCTGAACAATATTTCGTCAAAAATATATTATACAAAATAGTGTACAGATAATATAAATATAAATAGTAGGTATAGACGGTGGTCTCCGGAATGTCTTGCCGTTTCGACCATTTCAATACAATTTCTTCTTGAAATTGCAGTTATAATGATTGTCAAATCATCAGTGAGATCCATGAAATATTGATATGTTACCAGTTGAAATGATTTCTTGAGAGATACTACATGACTTTCGTCTTTCTTCAGAAGAAGATTACTGTCGAAACGGCAGGACATTCCGGAGACCACCGTCTACACTTACTATTTACATTTATATTATTTGTACACTAATTTGTAATAATATATTTTTGACGAAATATTGTTCAGCGTTAATTTATCACAGTTCTTGGCTCGTTTTCCGGTTTTTACAGTGACTGTGTCCAATTGTAACCCGTCCCTTGGTGTGTTCCCCCAGCCCTCCGTGAGACTGGCTTCTCTTGTCTTTTCCTTCTCTCCAGTGCTCTGTTGCTTTTGCAGGCTAGCAAGGGTGACTCGGCCGCTGCCGCCGCGCATCAGCTGCAGGAAAAGGAGAAGCTGCTGGTGGCCTTGAAGGAGGAGGGCGCCATCGCCAAGGAGCAGTGCAAGCAGCTCTCGCAGGTACGGCTACGGCTCCCCGGGGCAAAGAGGAGCCCATAAAACGTAGCCAGTGGGAAGGAGGTTTCACTTGTGGCAGCGTAGTCCAGACTGTAGTTACCAGCATGAAGCATTTGTCATGAAGCCTCGTTGTGGTCTGTAGGTCGGGTTTCCTTTTCCATCTTGTTGCTTGGGGGGGGGCAACAGTGGGAGGACTTCTGGAACTCTGGGCCCTGCTTGTGGACCTCCTGATGGCACCTGGGTTTGGGCCACTGTGTGATGCAGAGTGTTGGACTGGGATGGGGCATTGGCCTGATCCAACATTGGCTTCTCTTATGACTGGGGCAGTGATGCTCTGTCTTCTTGGTGCTTGGGGGGGGGGCAACAATGGGAGGGCTTCTGGAGTTCTGGCCCCGCTGGTGGACCTCCTGATGGCCCCTGGGTTTGGGCCAATGAGTGACACAGAGTGTTGGATTGGAGGGGCCATTGGCCTGATCCAACATGGCTTCACTTATGTCTGGGGCAGTGATGCTCTGTCTTCTTGGTGCTTGGGGGGCCACAGTGGGTGGGCTTCTGGAGTCCTGGCCCCACTGGTGGACCTCCTGATGGCACCTGGCATTTTGGGCCACTGTGTGACAGAGTGCTGGACTAAATGGGCCATTGGCCTGATGCAGCATTGGCTTCTCTTCTGTCTGGGGCAGTGATGCTCTGTCTTCTTAGTGCTGGGGGGGGGGCAACAGTGGGAGGGCTTCTGGAGTTTTGGCCCCGCTAGCAGACCTCCTGATGGCACCTGGGTTTTGGCCACTGTGTGACACAGAGTGTTGTACTGGATGGGCCATCGGCCTGATCCAACATGGTTTCTCCGATGTTCTTATCTGTCTTCAGCAGGGAAGAGAAAGGCATAAGTAAACTATGAAGGTGACAGGGAAGGTTGGATCGCATGGGACTGTTCCCCTCGTAGTATTGCCAGCCTGGGGTTGGCAACCAGAAGCGCTCACCTGGGAGTGGGGGCCCTAGCTAGTGATGTCACATCGGGTGCGACCTGGAAATTGCCTCATTGAATGGGGGGGGCACACTCTGAACCAAGAGGGAAGGCGGGATATAAATGTTTTAATAAATACATTTGACCCAAACTCTGTGGTTTAACCATAGAGCTTGGGGTGAATGCTAGAGTGTCCCCTGATTTGGTGACATTACTTCTAGGACAGGCCTGGAAGAGTTACGTTATGGTGCCACCGATCACACCCCCCCATTCCCCCCAGAATTTCCTCCCCGCTACCCGGCTGAGTGGAGGCAGGTGGAATCAGCAGTTGCTGGGAGGTTTCCTGCCAAAGTGGAAGGCGCAGCCTTCCCTACACCGAAGCTGTCCGCCAGCCAAGGAGCCATGTAACTGAAGCTTGTGTAACTGTATCCCATCTCCTGCATCCAGGGGTCATTTTGTAGAAAAAAAGGTGCAGGAGCTCATTAGCATAACTCATTAGCATAACACATTAGCATATGCCACACCCCCTGACCTTACCGGAAGTGTGTCAGAAGGCAACACCCACCGCTCAGGCTTCACTGGACTGTTTTGGATTGCTAGCTATTTTTTTGGGGGGGGAACGTGCAGCTCTGTCCTCACAGAGGAGGGAGAGCTTGTACTTGAATAAAACTTGGTCTTAAAGGTGCCACTGGACTGTTTTGGACTGGGGCGGGGCCTCTGCAGCTTGCCTGGCTGCTTCTTGTGCTGACTGAGGGCTGCTGGGAGCAGGGGGCGGGGCTTGTTGCATGTGCGGGGCTTGTTGCATGTGCCCGCCCACTGGGCTCTTTACTGCCGGAGCTCTGCTCCTGTGTGCTCCTGGAGGAAATTACCCTTGCCTGCATCCACGCAAAGTTCCTGAATCAAATCTACTGTCTCCTGTTTTAGTAACCACTTACGAAGGCGTCTCCCTCTCTACTTCTTCCATCTTGAGCAGTGCCAAGATATCCTTCCACCCTCCTCCTCCTCGTCCTCCTCTTCCTCCTCTTGTTCTTCTTCTTCCTATCCTCCTCCTCCTCCTCCTTTCTTATTTTAAATTTATGAATTGCTACTGTAGGGCTCTGGGCAATGTACAATATGAATGGCAACATACACTAGATAGAACAATTAAAATCAAACAACACTTTTAAAAAACAGATGGCGAACCAATTAATCCCATTTCAGATTGCCGGTCACTTCATGGGCTGGGGGGGATGGGGTAAGGCAAACGTAGAGAGGGGAAGAAGGTGCCAGCCAAGATGAAACGCCGTCACTATCCCCCGACCAAAGGCCTGACGGAACAACTCTGCCTTACAGGCCCTGAGGAATTGCATAAGGTCCCGCAGGGCCCTGATGGTATTCGTCATAAAGTTCCACCAGGTGGGGGCCAGAACCGAAAAGGCCCCGGCCCTGGTCTTTGAGGCTGAGGACAACCAGTAGGTTACTATCTGAAGAGCACAACGCTTTCCTGGGGACATAACGGAGGAGATAGTCCCATAGATACATTGGTCCCCGACCGCTCAAGGCCTTATCGGTCAACACCAAAAGCTTGAACTTGACTCAGTACTCCACTGGGAGCCAGTGTAGCTGGTGCAGCACCGTTCCCCTCAGGACCAGGGGTCATTTCCTACAGGAGCGGAGCTCCGGCAGTAAGGAGCCCAGGGGGCGGGCACATGCAACAAGCCCCACCCCTGCTCCCAGCAGCCCTCAGTCAAAGCAAGAAGCAGCCAGGTAAGTTGCAGAGCTCCCCCCAGCCCCCCCTGGCCAAAACAGTCCAGTGGCACCTTTAAGACCAGGTTTTATTCAGGTACAAGCTCTCCCTCCTCTGCAAGGACAGATCTGCATGTTCCCCCACCCCATAATAGCTAGCAATCCCAAACAGTCCAGTGGAGCCCGAGCATGGGTGTTGCCTTCTGACACACTTCCGGTGATGTCAGGGGGTGTGGTGTATGCAAATAAGCTATGCTAATGAGTTATGCTAATGAGCTCCTGGACCTCTTTTTCTACAAAATGACCCCTGCTCAGGACTCACGTCCCATCAGGACTTATCGCCCCTTACTCTTGAAACTCCTTCCGGAACACACGCATGGTTCCACCTCTCCTTCTCTCCCTCCCTTCAGATCTCTTTTCCGGCATGCACATCTCCTGGGAAGCCTTTCTTTGTCTTCGTTTCGGTAGCGGGAGGGTGTCTGAGGATGCTTGCAGTTGCTCACGTTCGGTCCTGGTCTCCCTCCCGCCCCCCCCGTCGGTTGAAAGAGTTGGCCAGCCGGTCTAAATACTGTTCTCTGATGTCCCAGGAGCTGGTTGCCGAAAAAGAAAGGAACAACCTGGTGGCAGCGAAGATGAGAGAGAGGATCGGCACGCTGGAAAAGGAGCACGGCGTTTTCCAGAACAAAATCCACGTGGGCTACCAAGAGAGCCAGCAGATGAAGATGAAGGTAAAAGGCGATTTTTGTGTTGTCATACAGAATCTGTTTCTACGCAGATGCTTTTAGGGAACGATGAATGATCGTTTTCAGAGCTTGCCAGCACTTTCTAAGCCAAGTACCGATATGTGGGATGATAGTTTGCTTCCAGTATATTGCAATTTATTGTTTTGTTGCTGTGATCATATTTCTCAATCTAAGTATGATTTTTGACAAAATAATAATAAGAGATGGGATTTGTACCCCACCATTTACTACCCGAGGGAGTCTCAGAGCGGTTTACAATCTCCTTTCCCTTCCCCCTCTCACAACAGACACCTTGTGAGATAGGTGGGGCTGAGAGAGCTCTTTCGAGGACTGCTCCTGAGAGAACAGCTCTGAAATAAGCAGCAGCTGCATGTGGAGTTATATAGCAGTTTATATGCAGGTGAAATGCAAGAAAATCCCTCCTCAGGTTTCTTTATTCAAAGATGGTTGCTTTTTGGAACAGAGTTAAACCAAAGGAGATGACTCAAATAGTAAAGCTGTGATATATCTGAATTCTTTTAGGTATGTCAAATGCCTGGTAACTCTAGTGATAGTGTAGACTTTTACTCCCCCCCCCTTTATTTTGTCTTTTTCTCTCTTAAGGTTGGATATAGGTATTTATGATCACCATGTAGTTATGAATTCACTTATGGCTTGTACATTTTTTATCTCTAATTTTAAAAAATTATATTTTTACCCAAAAAAATTGCACCAGTGTTTGTCACCTGGCAGCATGTGAATTTTCTCTGGAAAGTGACTTGCAGCATTTTCACATATGAGGTTGAAAACTGTTCTGTTTCCAGCTGAGTTGTTATGTGTGTACAGAACCTAGCTTGGCCAGAAGGTGCACTTGCAGTACAAATGCCTCTCTGAGATTTGTGCGGGGTGGGGGAGAGCAAATCAGATGATCTGCAGTTTCAGATGTAAAAGCTTTCAGGGTTGTAGGAATGGGAGGTATTTAAAGACTACCCAGTCCCAATCCGATTTCTGCAACTCACCTGTGAATCACACATTTAGATCTCTTTACAGAAGTTGTGAAAACAGATTCAAGCCCAGAAATTAAGATGCTGAATTGAAATGTGTGCTTATGTAGAATACTCTCGTCTGAAGAACAAAACTGAGATCCCCTTTGAGTAATATCCCTGTTAAGTAACTCACCTTTGCTTGTGCGTACCAGCAGTTGGGGAGGGAAGGGTGGAGGGAAGAGAGGGGGGAAATCCAGGGGGGAGGAGAACATGAGAAGAGCCCTGCTGGATCAGACCACTGAGGGTCCCTCTAGTCCAGCATCCTGTCTCACACAGTGGCCAGCCAGTTCCTCTGGAGGGACAACAGAAGGGCAGAAAGAACAAGGCCTTCATAAGAACATGAGAAGAGCCCTGCTGGATCAGACCAGTGGTCCCTCTAGTCCAGCATCCTGTCTCACACAGTGGCCAGCCAGTTCCTCTGGAGGGACAACAGAAGGGCAGAAAGAACAAGGCCTTCATAAGAACATGAGAAGAGCCCTGCTGGATCAGACCAGTGGTCCCTCTAGTCCAGCATCCTGTCTCACACAGTGGCCAGCCAGTTCCTCTGGAGGGACAACAGAAGGGCAGAAAGAACAAGGCCTTCATAAGAACATGAGAAGAGCCCTGCTGGATCAGACCAGTGGTCCCTCTAGTCCAGCATCCTGTCTCACACAGTGGCCAGCCAGTTCCTCTGGAGGGACAACAGAAGGGCAGAAAGAACAAGGCCTTCATAAGAACATGAGAAGAGCCCTGCTGGATCAGACCAGTGGTCCCTCTAGTCCAGCATCCTGTCTCACACAGTGGCCAGCCAGTTCCTCTGGAGGGACAACAGAAGGGCAGAAAGAACAAGGCCTTCATAAGAACATGAGAAGAGCCCTGCTGGATCAGACCAGTGGTCCCTCTAGTCCAGCATC